GCGGGTCCCGGGTTTGCTGCGGTTGGGGTCCGCCGCTCCGGACTGCGGGAAGCGCCGTGCGCAGCAGGCGTGGGTGGCAGCTCCCTTGAGGCGTGAGTAAGGTAAAGCAGAGACCATTAGCCCCCAACCCTTACATTGTTGTTTTTTCTTTCTTAGGGTCTTGAACATCATGTGTGGTCATTCGTAACTTTAAAAGTAAAACCGCCTCTTCAGAAAATCAAACCAGAGCACGTGCTTGAAAACCCTCCAGTAATGATAAACTGTACAGTTCTGTTCTAGACGTAACTACCAGATAGATTTTTAACAATGAACAGCATTGCCAAAAGCCTTTTGAAATCAGTTAAACGTGGCCAGGCTGCGTGGCTGAGAAGCAGCTCTGCTCTCGCTGGAAAACAGCATCTTCGGAAACTCGTCCTGGGAATAGAGACGAGCTGCGATGACACCGGCGCGGCGGTGGTGGACGATGCCGGCACCGTTCTGGGAGAAGCGCTGCACTGTCAGAAGGAAGTCCATTTACAGTGAGAATATACTTCTCTTGGGGCTTTTGCCTTAACAACGATTTTATTGTTATTCTTACTTGTAATATCATCCGTATAAAAAGTCTTCTCCAGAAAACTCGGGGAGAAGTGGGTAGGTGTAAAGACCTGTCTCTTGGGCCACACCACATTTTGCTTGAGATATTACTAAGGGTGAGGAGAGAAATGCTGTGTGTTTAACAAGTTTCCTCCAGTATTGTCTTTCAAAAAGAGATTACTTGTCTAGCTTGAATTAAAGATGAAATCATTGTTACTGTTAAAACCACCAAATGTCTCAAATTTTTTAAGGGAAAATTAATCAAATATAGGCATTGGTGGCTAAGTACGTGAACTGACAAGTGAGGGGTTGTGAATATTAAGTTACAGTCATTGTTTCGGAGCAGCATTGAGATACGTTTAAGAGGTATGTGTACCAAAAAAGGGCAAGTTACATCCTTTCCTGTCCTCCCAGTGATAATTATGCTCTCTTCACTGCATAGATGCCCTTTACACTAAACAAGGCATTTGAGAATGTACTAAGGAAACAGGCAGGATATGGCAAGATTAAGAGGTGTTTAAAATCTATTTTTATGCCATTCTATCTGTTACCAAATACGAATGTATTGTAATTCTTTTCACTAGAGCAGGTGGAATAATTCCTGTGGTGGCACAGCAACTTCACCGAGAAAACATTGAGCAAGTAGTAAAAGAAGCGCTTAGCGTCAGCGGAGTTTCTGTACGTGAACTTGCAGCTATTGCAACTACAGTAAAACCAGGACTCGCACTAAGCCTGGAAGTGGGGCTGCAGTACAGCCTGAACTTGGTGAACAGGTACCAGAAGCCGTTTATCCCCATTCATCACATGGAGGCTCACGCACTGACCGTCAGGCTGATGCATCACGTGGAATTTCCTTTCTTAGTCCTTTTACTTTCTGGAGGCCACTGCATCTTGGCAGTAGCACAAGGAGTTTCAGATTTCCTTCTGCTCGGACAGTCCATAGATATAGCACCGGGTGACATGCTGGATAAGGTAATACTTCCTTACATAAGTGAATCTAGGTTTTTTTTTTTGTTTTGTTTTTATTGCAGTTATACTACAGAATGGTAGTATTATCATCAGCCCGAGGACAGTAATACAGTGCGATATGAGCTTTACTTAACTTTTTTTTCCTATTTTGAAATACCATAGATTTAAGACACGAGAGGCTGTTAAAAATCTGTGCGTAGCATCAGTTGTAACGTATGCAAATTAATTGTATTTTTAGCAAATAGACAACATAACCAAAACTGGTGTTCAAAGGTTCATTGACACCCATTGTACAAATGAGTTGTATGAATTTGAAAAGATTGGTAGTGATACTTTAAAGGATACCGTCAGGTTTAAAACAATACATATGAAAATATTTCTTACCAGTTTTTTTGCACAGTTTGAAAAGCCTGGTTTGGCTTTCAGAATCTAAGTTTTCTGGGTCACTGAGTACAATCTGTAAAATTGATCACTTAACAGTTTTGTTCTCAAACACAAGCAGAGTTTTTAAACAATATTTGTGTGTATTCATTAAAAAAGTGGGGGATTGAGTGGAATCAGAAAGGGGATTGTTGAAAGTTGAAACCAACTTTGTTCCTGTTTATCTGGTAATACAGTGTGGCGGTCCGTGTCTATTTCCTATAGCATACAAATTTGGTAATTAATGTTTCCTGCAAAATTTGTTGATCCTCATGTTTGCCTAAATTGTTCTAGAATTGCATTTCTAATTACTCTAGAAAAAAAAACCACAGCCGGCATATGTCTTGTCCTTATTGTGCCCTGTTCGTCATTGCATGTTGGATTGGATTTTGTGGTGTCTAATTTTACTCCACGGACTACAATACAGCGATGCAGTTACAGGAGGAATTAATTTAGCTCTCTGTTCTGAGTCTGTTGTTTATTATCTCCTTAGGTAGCAAGAAGACTCTCTTTAAGAAAGCACCCAGAGTGCCACAGCATGGCTGGAGGGAAGGCGATAGAGCACTTGGCTCAAACTGGAAACCGGCAACAGCACACATTCCGACTTCCCATGCAACAGTATCGCAACTGTGATTTTTCTTTTTCTGGACTTCAGAACCTTGTCAATAAAGCCATTATACAAAAAGAAAAAGAAGAAGGTATTTTGAAACAAAGTCAGATATAAACCATGTTTTTGATGACCTATACTTGGGAAAACCCATTTGATCATACATTTTTATAGGTATTCAAGAAGGTGAGATCCTGTCCTGTGTTAAGGATATTGCTGCTGCTGTACAGCATGCAGTGGCTGTTCATATTATCCAGCGGACATATCGAGCCATGCTGTTCTGCATAAAAAATAGCATATTATCACCAAAAAATGCAACTTTGGTGGGTATACTTTTTTTTTTTTTTTCCTTTTTATATTTGACTGTATAACATCATTTGAAGATGCAGGTGCCTTGTTATACTTTCTCCCTTGACAGGTGAGGAAGATGTCAGTATGTATTACATTGTTAAAATATCAGGATTAAAGTAATAGTCATATAAATATTTACAATAAAGTCTTTCATAGTTTGGTTTTAAGCTAGAAAGAGATATTCTTACCATCTAATCTGACCTTCCATAAAAATTTAGGCCACATAATTTGACCTAGTGCTCCAGAACACTTGACGCCCGCGAACACTTGATAGCTGTTCTAGCTATAACATGCTTTTATTCAGGAATCTCTTTTAGCATGATAAGCTCACTTACCATGCTCTTTCCTGATACGTTTTCATCTTCAAAGATAGGTTTTAATCTTGAAATGTGTTATTTATTGCTGTCTTCAGAACTTCATCTGATAACCTTTTTTTAAATAGGATGTTAGTTGAGTGTGACCCATCAGTACTTTTGTGTTAATGCCTTTTT